ATATTCCATACATTGATGTGGTTTGTTTTAATATTCCATACACTGATGTGGTATGTTTTAATATTCCATACATTGATGTGGTATGTTTTAATATTCCATTAATTGATGTGGTATGTTTTAATATTCCATACATTGATGCATGTTTAAATATTCTATAATTTATGTGGTATGTTTTAATATTCCATTCATTGATGTGGTATGTTTTAATATTTCATACATTGATGTGGTATGTTTTAATATTTCATACATTGATGTGGTATGTTTTAATATTCCATACATTGATATGGTATGTTTTAATATTCCACTCACTGATGCATGTTTTAACATTGCATACATTGTTTTAATATTTCACAAACTGATTTGGTATGTTTTAATATTCCATACATTGATGTGGTATGTTTTAATATTTCATACATTGATGTGGTATGTTTTAATATTCCATACATTGATTTGGTATGTATTAATATTCCATACACTGATATGGTATGTTTTAATATTCCATTCACTGATACATGTTTCAACATTGCATACATTGTTTTAATATTTCACAAACTGATTTAGTATGTTTTAATATTCCATTCACTGATGCATGTTTCAACATTGCATACATTGTTTTAATATTTCACAAACTGATTTGGTATGTTTTAATATTCCTCACACTGACATGATATGTTTTAATATTCTATATACTGATGTGTACATTTTAATATTTCACAAACTAATGTCTTAATATTCTGTATAATTATGTGGTATGTTTTAATATTACACAAACTGATTGGGTATGTTTTAATATTTCCCAAAACAGCAAGATACGTTTTAATATTCCATACAGTGATGCAGGGGAGTCGCCGTGGCCGAGCGGCTAGATGCTTGCCGCGGATTAGAAGGTCGTAGGTTCACTCCCTGGTGGAGCCGAACTGTGTTCAAAAATGACCTTGGCTCCCAGGTCAACCCAGCCTTGAGTGGGTACAGAGTGCAGTCCAAGGAAGTAAAGGCAGCCGGCATGATGCTGACCACATCACCCATCCTGTGCCCATTGGTCTATAAAAATATAGGTCTAGCCCTATATGCCCTATACGCCTAAAGGCGTGGAAAAAGGTCCTTTACTTTTTACTTTACTTACAGTGATGCAGTATGTTTTAATATTCCTCACACTGATGTGGTAGGTAATAGATAATACATTAATGGCTTTAACATAAAAACACTTACATGAAATTATATTCTAGAGTTCTTTTCCAGACAACTTAAAGCACACAGGTAATGCGACCCCCTATTTTAAAAAATACAGTCAGCGAGGGATGTGGTCAGTATGATATCCACCTTAACTTCCCAGAAAATATTTTTAAACCCATTTAATTTGATCCAGGTTCTATGTTACTTAAAAAAAAAATACTCTCAGCATTCAGACACATGATCACAGGGTCAGCAGGCCAGTATTCTAGCCACTGGGCCACTGCAGTTCCCACAACATATTTCACATACTGACATAAAATGTATTTCAAAATGTTCCACACAGTGACATGACATTTTTATACTTTGAAATATTGCAACATTGGACATAATATTTTTTCCTTTTTTTAAAATACACTGACATTGTATATTTTAGTCTTCCAAACTATGATATGCATATTTTACTTCAAACTCTAATAGAGTATATTTTACTCTTCCACACTCTCCTCCACACTCTGACATGGAATAATATGTTTGACTGTCGTCCACACTCTGACATGATATAGTTTCCAATTGTACACTCTGACACTATATTTTAATTTTCCATTCTCTGACTTCCAAAATGATGAAATATCTTTGAAATCTTTCACAGTATATTTTAACCTTACATACCTTTGTTAACTCTTTGAGTCCCAGGAAACGCATCATACGTTCATACGTTCTTACCTAGAAGCCCAGTGAATGCATGATGCGTCGATTTTAGTCTCTCTTTACTACTCATTAGGCCTGTGATGCTAAACCCCCTGAAAGAGTTAAAGGTAAATTTAACTTCCCAAAACTCCGACATTATAATCACGTATGTTTGTAGAGTATAACTGGGTATCTCACCATCAGACATAACATGGTTGATTATATACTCATAATTTCACATACATAGCAGCATATTTGAATATTCAATTCACCAACATATTTTTTGTTGATTTAAGATTAGATAAAATTGCCAAGCTTCGGTCATCAGAAACTTCACAAGAATGATATGCTTTACAAAACATGTCAAATCAATAGCTCAAGAAGTGAAAAGAAAAAATGTATGCAGTGCAAATGTAAAAATACACTCACATCTAATAATAAAATAGCACCCCAACATAAAATAGGAGGGTTTCATAGATAACAAGTTGATAAGAGAAATAGTTGCAAGTGTATATGAAGTGAAATGTTTTAGGCAAATTAATTGTTGCTACCGCTAAAGAACATAACAAACAATTGTCCAGATTGTTGTGAGCTCAAGTGAGAACTATTGCAAGCATGAAAACAAAAGCTGCAGTTTCACTCACTCACTTGTACAGGGTGTTTTAAAATATCACTACACTTTTACATAGAAATTTTTTTTGGAAACAGTGTACATGAAGACATAAAAAATGTACTACACAGTCAAATGTGAAGCAATATGCAGTGAATGGCAGTGACCTGCTAGAGTAATTCTTTGCACTCAAAACAGAATGAATGTTATCAATACATGTTATAATGAATATTTTATTGGTACTTTCCAGCTTTCTCAAAAAAGCATTAAACAATAGCAGTGACAATTTTAACAAATTTAATGACTTTTTAAGCATGCCTTTTGATGACATCATATACTTGGGTTTTTCAAATTTGTTCTGCATACAAAGTGTAGTGTGACTTTAAGAACACCCTATACATTTGGCACTTAAAGAATTTGTCTGATATATATATATATATATATATATATATATATATATATATATATATATATATATATATATATATATATATATATATATATATATATATATATATATATATATCATGGTTAATTGCATCCCACTTTTGCTGTGTCAGAGAGGAGGTAGAATTTGAGAGGAACCGATAATTGACAGTGTTCATAGAAGTCTCAGCCCATTAAGTTGAAGTTTAGCCTGTCAAGTTCAAGTTTAGGTCATCAAGTTAAAGTTTAGTCTGTCAAGTTGAGTTGAGTTGTATATTCAGGATGCAAGATACCAACCCAAGCATTTGTTTGCTGCTTCTGGTTTTTATTGGGTGATTTTTACACTCAGTAGTTTGCCACTGCTTTCTGAGCAGTTCAACACTCATAACAATGTAACAATCTATGCAAAGGGGTCTGCTGCCAAATTCTCTGCAGTTGAACTGAACTCAATATATGAGAATTATGAAACTGGGTTTACAGACCCAGTCCAGCCAGCCGAAGTTGTCTCGTATTTGTAACACCTAAAGTAAAATCTGGATTGCCAACCATAACTTAGAAATTAAACTTTGAAAAAGAAATCAAAGCACTGAACATTGTACCAAAGAGTTTAGTGCAACAAACTGTGGCATGAACCCACAACACTAAACACTGTGACAATAACCTTCAACATTAAACACTGTGTAAAGAATCCACAACACTAAACACTGTGACAAGAACCCACAGTACTAAACATTGTGTCAAGAACCTACAAGACTAAACACTCTGCCAAGAACCCACAATATAAACACTGTGCCAGGAACCTACAACACTAAACACTCTGCCAAGAACCCACAATATAAACACTGTGCCAGGAACCTACAACACTAAACACTGTGCCAAGAACCCACAACACTAAACACTGTGCGAAGAACCCACAACACTTAACCATGTGCCAAGAACCCACAACACTAAACACTGTTTCAAGAACCCACAACACTAAACATTGTGCCAAGAACCCACAACACTAAACATTGTGCCAAGAACCCACAACACTAAACATTGTGCCAAGAACCCACAACACTAAACACTGTTTCAAGAACCCACAACACTAAACATTGTGCCAAGAACCCACAACACTAAACATTGTGCCAAGAACCCACAACACTAAACATTGTGCCAAGAACCCACAACACTAAACATTGTGCCAAGAACCCACAACACTAAACACTGTGCCAAGAACCCACAGTACTTAACATTGTGCCAAGAACCCACAGTACTAAACATTTTGCCAAGAACCCACAGTACTAAACATTGTGCCAAGAACCTACAGTACTAAACATTGTGCCAAGAACCCACAACACTAAACACTGTGCCAAGAACCCACAACACTAAACACTGTGCCAAGAACCCACAGTACTAAACATTTTGCCAAGAACCCACAGTACTAAACATTGTGCCAAGAACCTACAACACTAAACACTGTAACGTCTGGAAGGTTCAACAACTATCAGCAGCTGGAATTTAACAACAATAGGCTTACTTGGCTGTTGTCCTGTCTACGTTTCCGGAAAGAAAATCTACCTCTTTCCTCTGAAAAGAATATTTGTAGCGTATGTAGTTGTGGTATGCACACTCTGCATACTGTGGAATTCGCATTACGTACCATTGTTATGGAGTTTAAAAATGGAAGCTGTAGCATTTACAGAGTAATTCAAGTGTACAGTAAAAGTGAACATGTACAAGCCAAACCTTCTTAAGTTAAGTATAATGTACAGTATATTATATGGCACATACAAACATGAATAATATCAACAACTCTCCAGTTAATAACTAGACAAATGGAAGGTACTTTTCTGTGATTGGCTGTTGAATATAGCGATGTAGCAGTTCCACAATCAACACCAGATAAACAACCAAATTACCTTGAGAAAAGTCTGGTGAAAAGGAAATTCAACATTGGTTTGAGGTAAATTTGTTTACCAAGTCATTTTAAATCATTCGGCATCAGTGCATATTTGAGAGATTAGGATGTTCAAACTGGCAGTTTAGCATGTAAAGCCAGCCAGGTTTTTATGAAACAGTGTGCTTAATCTAAACTCAACAGTTAAAATTGTGTGTAAAACACCCAATATCCCAAGTTGAAAAAAATGAACGATAATGGGAACAAAATACGGGAGATCTTGTCCACTCTTCTGGCTCTCAAACGTGAAGGAGCTGGTCCACCAACAGCAACATGTCTTGGAACTTTGCCATTCGTCTAGTAAAGAAATAAAAATGTACATTTTCATAATGATGCTTTTATTTGGCCAACAAATCTATTTCATTTTAAAATGTGTCAAATCATTGTCACCAGCATTCATGCAATAAAACATTTACATACAGTCCATGTGCAGTTTGATAAAACTGTTGTCATCAGTGACCATAGTTAGAATACACACATTCAGTTTGAAGGCAGAAATCACCAGAAAAGAGTAGAAAAGTAAATACATGAGTAGACTCAGTTTATTGATTTACAGCACTTATTAGGCAAGATTCCAAAACATCTAAGGACATAACAGAAGTTAGGAATGTATATTTATAATGTATACTGAAGCGAATAGAAAAGAACACCATTATGTCAATGCCATATTTTAATTATAAACTATATGTCATTAAGAATAATGCCATTACAACAGTACATGGAATATACTTTAATCAAATTTGATGTGGCAGTATCAGTGTAGAAACACTTTATTAGCTGCTGAGGAGGGGGCAGAGCATGTATGGGAATGTCGAGAGTGAGTGATGTCACCTAGTGAATGCCAGAGCTAAATATAAAAGGATAAATCATCAGACTCTCCCAGCAAACAAAGGTTCCAGTAACTACTAGTTACAACACACATGCTAACTAAAAATTACCCTTTCAAAGAAATGAGACAATATTCAGTGAAACACATGTCCAAAGCTCGATCCCCCCCCCACCCCTCTCAACAACAAATTTTGGATTTTATATTTATTATTATTCCTCTTTATTCCCCTATCTTCTTTCCTCTTTCTGCTTTCTGCCTTCTTCCTTTTTTTTCAGCATTCTGAGTCCTTGATGATCATTGCTGCAGATATCACACTCCTCCATTCATCTCTGTGACTGTCCCTCTCTGTCCAGTTGATGACTTCCAAGTATTTGTAGCTGTGCTTGGATATTATCCAGTCACCATCTACTTCATCGGCTTTGGGAAATACTCCCATTAACTCCTTTGTGTAAGCAGCTTTTGTCTCTCTGTCATCTGCCATTTATTCTGTATTTCCCAACCACTGTAGTCTGTTAGCCCTCATTGTGTCAGTAAGTGATGGTGATTTAATCAGTTTATGAAGTAACATTTTCTGATGTTTCTCACTTTCCGTTCTCTGCTGTTTGCATGGGTTCAAAGTTTAGTCTTAAGACGCTGTTCTCAAAGCTTTGTAATAAGGTTTCATATCTTTTAGTTGTACTCAAAGTTTTAAAGCCACGTATGACAATGGGTAATATCAATTTTATACATTTTATGATCTCGATCTTAAGAGACAGAGCATTTGATTTTAGCAGATGTGGTAGGGTTTAGTATACTTTATTTCCAGATTGTATTTAAGACTGTATTTCTTCTTCAATGCTGGAGAAGTTGAAGTTTGCATCCAGATATGTGTTTGATTCCTCTCATCTGATGTTCATGTTATGTACTTGTGGCCGGGTTTCTTATCCGTTAACTGTCTCGTGATTATCATCTATTTTGTCTTATCTTGAATGATTATTAGTCCCATTTTCTGAAATGCTTCCTTTAAGTGAGTCAGTGTTTTCATCATCTCTAGTTCATTTTTTCCCCAAATATATCTGTCATCTGCATAACCAAGTATTCTTGTTGTTTCTCCTAAAATACAATCTTCTCTCACTTTCTTTATAATCTTCATTAGGGCCAACATAATTTGTCTGGTACCTCTGTTGTCCTAAAATAGGCTCTCTGTGTATTGAGTTCCCCTTTTAATTATATTAGTCTTATCAACAATAATTCTTTCATTTTTCCCTCTGCTGCAACTAATTCATGTTTAACAGTTTCTCCTGTTTGTAAGTCTTCTTATGTTTTCATTTAATTATTTTGTGTTATATTTCTTTCTAGATCAATGGCTCTCAAACTGTGGGTTTCAACCCTTTTAGGGTCAAATTACCCTTTCACAGGTGTCTCCTAAGACCATCAAAAAACACATATTCATTGAACTTATGAAGTAGCAACCAAAAAAAAAATGTATTGCTGGGGGTCGGCACAACATGAGGAACTGTATTAAAGGGTCTACACAACATGAGGAACTGTATTAAAGGGTCGGCACAACATGAGGTACGGTATTAAAGGGTGGCCACAACATGAGGAACTGTATTAAAGGGTGGCCACAACATGAGGAACTGTATTAAAGGGTGGCCACAACATGAGGAACTGTACTAAAGGGTGGCCACAACATGAGGAACTGTATTAAAGGGTGGCCACAACATGAGGAACTGTATTAAAGGGTAGGCACAACATGAGGAACTGTATTAAAGGGTCGACACAACATGAGGAACTGTATTAAAGGGTGGCCACAACATGAGGAACTGTATTAAAGGGTCGACACAACATGAGGAACTGTATTAAAGGGTCGGCACAACATGAGGAACTGTATTAAAGGGTGGCCACAACATGAGGAACTGTATTAAAGGGTAGGCACAACATGAGGAACTGTATTAAAGGGTGGCCACAACATGAGGAACTGTATTAAAGGGTAGGCACAACATGAGGAACTGTATTAAAGGGTGGCCACAACATGAGGAACTGTATTAAAGGGTCGGCATAACATGAGGAACTGTATTAAAGGGTAGGCACAACATGAGGAACTGTATTAAAGGGTGGCCACAACATGAGGAACTGTATTAAAGGGTCGCCACAACATGAGGAACTGTATTAAAGGGTCGCCACAACATGAGGAACTGTATTAAAGGGTAGGCACAACATGAGGAACTGTATTAAAGGGTGGCCACAACATGAGGAACTGTATTAAAGGGTAGGCACAACATGAGGAACTGTATTAAAGGGTTGGCATAACATGAGGAACTGTATTAAAGGGTAGGCACAACATGAGGAACTGTATTAAAGGGTGGCCACAACATGAGGAACTGTATTAAAGGGTAGGCACAACATGAGGAACTGTATTAAAGGGTGGCCACAACATGAGGAACTGTATTAAAGGGTAGGCAGAACATGAGGAACTGTATTAAAGGGTAGGCACAACATGAGGAACTGTATTAAAGGGTTGGCATAACATGAGGAACTGTATTAAAGGGTAGGCACAACATGAGGAACTGTATTAAAGGGTGGCCACAACATGAGGAACTGTATTAAAGGGTAGGCACAACATGAGGAACTGTATTAAAGGGTTGGCATAACATGAGGAACTGTATTAAAGGGTGGGCATAACATGAGGAACTGTATTAAAGGGTGGCCACAACATGAGGAACTGTATTAAAGGGTGGCCACAACATGAGGAACTGTATTAAAGGGTGGCCACAACATGAGGAACTGTATTAAAGGGTGGCCACAACATGAGGAACTGTATTAAAGGGTTGCGGCATTAGGAAAATTAGGAGCCACTGTTCTAGATACTCTGTTTCCTCACATTCTATGTCTCCTTGTCTACACATGTTACATATTTCCTTGTCTATTACTGAATACTCATGCTTTCTTTTTTTGCATAATTTCTTCAGTCATCCACATTTGATTTTTCTTGTTTCTTTCACTCACTGGTAAGTTGGAATTTGCTGTTTGTATATAATTCTGAGGCACTCCCATTTTGTACTGATTTTCTGTGGATTTTCAAGCCGATATTATTCCCTGCTTTCAAGTATTTTCCTGTCACATTTATTTTTTCCCTTCACCAGATACTGATGATTTATTTATGGCTGCTAAAATGCTGATATATCTGCTTAGGATTGCCTTAAAGATTTTAGACCCGTGCTTTCAAGTCTGATGTGCATTTGTATGACCACAAGGTTGTGAACTGAGTTTATATCCCCCACAGGGACATAGGAACAAAGGAAGGAAAAAGAAAATGAAGTTAGTTAATTTAACAATTTTTGTTGTTTTTTTGTGAACAATGTTTTAACTGTTATTACTGCACATTGTTAGACTGTACTTGTTAAAATTCAACATTTTTTTAAAAAACATGGCTGTCTTTGTTGGTATGGAACAATGCTAAAACTGTTGGTGTTGAACATTGTTATCATTGAACAGTGTTATTTTTTAAAATAATTATTGAATAATGTCATCACTGTTATTATTATTAAACAATAAAATTGAACAGTGTTATCATTGTTTTCATTGTTGAGACTTCTTACCTGTGAACCTTCCTTGACTTCTATTGGTATTCTGAAAATCTGTGCAGACATGATCTCCTTGTCCCCTCGCCGGGCTAGAACGTTGACATAGGCGAATTCTAGCAAGCCAGCAAAGACAAAGATGAGGCTGCTGACAATCCACACATCGATGGCTTTGATGTAGGAGACCTGGCAGAACCAGTGTCAGAGAGCTTAGATTAGTCTCGTCTTTGGAGAGGTAGATGGTAATACATGAAGAATCAAGGAAATAATACTAGAAACTGGTACAAACGGAACCACTGAACGAACGAAGGAACAAACAAACTTTATTTTCAAAGGGTCACAAATTAGGCACGCAGGCCCGTCTTACATTCGGCCCTTCCAAACATCTGTCTTTCACATTGCATCTGTATTTTATCAATAAGCATGTTATACTCATTTGATAATATGCCTAATATGAATATCAAAAAAGAGAGGAAAACAGAAAAGAAAAAAGCACCAAAGCATGGGTGGTAAAATGCATGCACAGAACACACCCACCCACTCACTTAAACACACCCACATACCTTCACACACACATTAACACACCCCGTTCACCCACGTACATACCTACATACCCACACAGACACGCACATTCCACACACATACAAACATACATAAATACACACACAGCCACTGAAATAATAATAGACTCTGGTACAAACAGTATAACTGAAACAACACTTGAAACTAATAAATATAAATACTGAAATATTACTAGAAACTTCCTTGTGTGGGTTGCGGGGACCCATTATAGAGAAAACAAGAAAAGAGAACAAGCATGTCTTAAGAGTGGAATAATTAGGGGTTTTCTTTTAAATCTAAGTGCATCTGCCTGATAGGTAAAGAACCAAAGTCTGCATACAAATAAGCCAGATTTGTAACAAGATGTGTATGAAACAGTCGGGTTCTGGAAGAATCCTAAAGTCCAGAAGGGAATGAACTACTATACATTTCAGCCGTAGTTAACAGACGGTGAACGCAAAGGAGGAGAAGAAGAAGAAGAAGAAGAAGAAGAAGAAGAAGAAGAAGAAGAGGACTTGAAACTGATATAAATGTAACTACTGAAGTACTAATACAATTGATACATAAAGTATGTGCGTTTGTCTGTGTTTCTATCCTGTCCTCATTTCTAACTGGGTTGACCTAAGAGCCAAGGTCAGTTTTGTTTCCAATCCTCCTGTTGAGGTTTGAACTCAGTACGTTTTTACCAACAAGCGAGCATTTACTCACTATGCTACTGCTGTTCCCAGTACTTGAAAAAGTATATCATTACCTGCTATGATTACCTTCAGTATCTTTATGAGTGCATTAAAGAGTAACAGTTATATTTTGAACTGAAAACGGAATATCCCACTTATATTTTGAGCTGAAAACGGGACACCCCACTAATATTTTGAGCTGAAAACGGGACATCCCAGTAATATTTTGAGCTGAAAACAGGACATCCCAGTAATATTTTGTGCTGAAAACGGAATACCCCAACTTTATATCCCCCTTCCCCTCGTTTTTTCTTCTCTCTTTTAGATGACTGGTGTGAGAGAGCGTTAATTACTGGCCCAACAATGGTATTAAAAGCCAAACACCTGCCATCAAAAAATAAACGAAACAATATGTTCTTTAGCTGCATTAGGAAAAAAGTGCTACAACTAAAATTCTCACAAACACATTTCAGACATTAAAAGTAGCTAAACGAATTAAATCTAATTAGGTCTACAGATATAACTATAAGTGAATGTTCTATTCTCGAGCTTATATCTAGATTTTCTTTTTCAAACGGTCGGGACAGGCCGAAAAATCGGAATGTCCCGGTAAAAAGAGACGTATGGTCACTCTACAGCAAGATCTAGAGACAGCCGTAGGTCACTCGAACAATATAACAACAGAAAGAAGCATTACCTTTGGTAGCTGCGACTGTATGTACGACCCGTGTGTGTTGAGGGTCAGCACTGTCAACACCCCTAAGGTTACACGGGCAGGAATGGCCTCTAAGTCCAGCCAGAAGGACACCCAAGATAGGGCCACAATGAGAATACTGGGCACGTAGACCTGGATGATGTAGTAGCCGATGTCCCTCTTGAGTGTAAAGTAGGCTTTGATGCAAGCAAATTTTGCTGGATGTAAAAAAAAAAAAAAACCAGGTCACGATTGATTTTCTAGTGAGTCAATCGTAAAATCAAGAAAATAATGGGTCTGTTACATCATCAGGGAAGCCGCTGTGGCGCAGCAGCTAGACGCTTGCCTGCTTTCTTTTTTTTTCTTCTGTCTTCTTCTTCCTTCTTTTTTATTAGCGCTAACCAGTTATAATCTTATAGGAAAAGTTCTAGTTGTTGTTCATTTCTGGACTTTGTTCTTGTTCAAGAATTTGAGTTTTGCGTGCACATTCGTTCTACAGATAAGGCTTATGTGTCTGCAGACTGTTTTTTATAGCCTCTCATGTCTAGTACGACATGCTTGTTATAGAGACAGTGGGTCAATTCACATCCCCCCCCCCTCCGAATGGGGCCCCAAAGCCTTCACAGGGACATTCACTATTATCCTCATGTGCATAATCGGGGAGAAGGAAAGAGTGAAAGTGATAGAGCAATATGTGAAGAGAGAGAGAGAGAGAGAGAGAGAGAGAGAGAGAGAGAGAGATAGAGATAGATAGATAGATAGAGAGAGAGAGAGAGAGAGAGAGAGAGAGAGAGAGAGAGAGAGAGAGAGAGAGAGAGAGAGAGAGAGAGAGAGAGAGAGGAGGGGGCAAGAAAACATACGGGTTTCGACATCCATTGTTCCGTTACAATTTTCAGTAAAGTTATTGACGATGGAGAACTGTGGTAGTTCTGTGTTGAGTGCGATGTCCTTGTCGTGTGTGATGGCAATCACTTCTTCAGGCTGCTGCCAGTAAAACATCACATTGTCTGTTGTGTATGTGTCTGCAGACAAACAAGTTCATCGTATCAAGATATAACCAGCATGAAACATCATACATTAACGCTGTCCACGCATAAAAACATACATACATACATAAATGCATATATACTTCTTGTTTACTGTGATATTAGTTAATGTACCTATAAATAAATGCATGCGCTTACTCACGCACATAATAAACTATACATACAGATAATACATACATCCATGCACACGAGTCCAGACTAATATAACAGATAGTCAAGCATGACTGTTTTTAGGTTTGGCAAGCAATTTGCTTTCTGACTGCGGTTAGTCGTTGTATTTTCCATATATTTGGACTTAAAGTCACACTGTGGCATCAAAGGCAATGAAAGCGCAGATGCTTTAGCCAAGGAAGGCAATAACAAACCACAGACCTACCAGCCACTATCTTTTCCAGAAGTCAAAACACTCATTAAGAGAAAATCAGAAACAGATTGGAAAACCAACACTGGTTATAACTACGAAAAAGATTTTCTGAAACACTTGAACAGAACCGACCAAGTCACAGTTTTTCGCTTACGCACTGGACACTGCAGACTCAATAAACACTCACATAAATTAGGTATGAGCCAAACAGCTCTCTGCCGGTGCCTTCGTGCTGAACAGACTCCAGAACATGTTCTGCAAGACTGTCCTTCCCTGGCGGAGCTGCGGAGCGACATATGGCAACACCCAGTAGAACTGACAACTAAGCTTTGGGGAAACCTAAGAGACCTTGAAAAGACATTCCAGTTTATGACCCACAGTGGATTATGCGCATGACCAGAGATCGCTGAAGAAGAAGAAGAAGGTAATCTGGTTTTCATTGGCACAGGATCGAAACGATTTTGGGGTGACCCGTGTGCTGTGATGTTGCAGGTGCGATTACCTGATACACGCAAACAGGTACAGACAAACAATCACAGAAACAGACATCATACACAACGACAACAGCGCGTTGCTGGAGGAACAGGTGCACGGCAAGCAATTACCATTAAAAAATATAATAATTTTTCCAGGTCTTTCATCGACCTGAACTCATAATTTTTACATATTCCAGAGGTTTGCCTCAAAGCTCGCTTTTCCCCACAGTGATAGTAACTTTAGTTGTCGATTTTTAAGTTGTCTAGTGTTATGTTATGTTATCACAATCAACGTCACTGCACATTGGGCATTTCCATGCGTGCTCATTCCTCCGAGGTACTTTTACTAATTGTTCCCATAAGAAGTTGGTTATAATTTTATAATTTCTCCTATCTCGGCCTCCGAAGGCGGCATAGACGTGCTTCATCGTGCTTTACTCCCATGTCATGCAATCGTGTTTTCTAGTGTGTCCTCCTTTATCTAATTGCTTTCTATGCTTCTATAAATACATATCAACGCTTGCAAATGTATGTATTCCATTGCAATGGTGTTTGACTAACTGACTGTCATGCAAGATATTGGTTAAGCACACGCTCAACTCGGACACATCTGCTTATCCTCTAGACAGGATTTAAATGGCTTTCTTTTCCCCCGTCTCCACTTATTCTCAGATATATCCTGGGATTAACTTGTTGATTATTATAGTTGATGGAAACTCTCACGTCGTATTCCCGAAAGTGCTCTCCCAATCAAATTATTGTTAGGGTATTATCCTAGGCGCCGTCAAGCCTCCATTTGCAGTCATTATCATTGATTTCATTATAGGTGACATGCTCATAAAACGCGAGACTACGATCAAAACACACCCCGAGATACTTAACTGATCGAGTTCTCTCCATGATCTTTGAACACAGACTGACAGTTGCATTTAAACTGCACTTACATAAATATGGGTACAAAGTGAGTCTCAGATGACCATTGGCCAAGACGGGAAACCCCCGACAGAAAGTAGGACACGACGGCACGAAGAAAAAGCAAGTTCCAAGGGTTAGTCTGAGAGAAATTGTACAAACACGAAAATTAGGAGAGGGAGTGAATAAAATTTAACTGAACATCTGATGTGTGTGTGTGTGTTTAAAAAAAAATAAAATAAAAAAATGAGATAGATAATCGGAGAAAAACACTCAAGATTCTGTTGAGAGAAAAACTATGGCTACGACAGCAGCTTTATTGTGCAGTGTATGAAAGGTATAGCGATCGTGTGTGAATGTTGAATGTTGAATTACGAATCTACATCACAGCACCCGGGACACCCCCATAAGCGCCATGTCCCAATCTTCAGCAGCAAGCGAAAACTTACAATTCCGATGGTACCCGTAATTGTCTGATTGTATATCCGTCTCGCCTTTTCGCTGAGTGTTGAGCGTCGACCAGATCCCCTTGTAACTCCTCGCAATACCGTGCTCCTCAGACAGTAATGGCCGCGCTCTCTAGCGTAGTTGGCTAAACCGGATTGCGCGGTGACTGGGTGACGAACTCCTTGTGGTCCGGGTTCCCTCCCGGGGGTAGGCAGACAAGCCACATTTCTCCCAGATTTACGGTATTTACAATGGAATCAAGGCCGAAAGGTTGCGATATCCATAATACCGAGCCTAAGGGTTAACAACTCATGACTTCTGGATACTAAAACAAACAAACAAACAGACCGTAATGATCTATCTGTTTCTCGTGTGTGAAAGACACGCCTATTGAATGTTTGCTGTGAATTAGTGTATTTCTTAAAGATTTGCTTGTAAGACAGGGGATGCCACTTAGTGTTTAGCTAGAGAGTACGGCAGAGATTACTTGGGAACATCCACAAACACGGTTAGAGACTGGAGACAGGCAGGCTAGATTAGTTATTGCACAGATATAAAACTTCGTTTTGGAACAATAGACTCCTGTCGTATAAGAGTGCGACCCGTGTTTGTCCTGTCTCTGAGGACATATTGAGTTCTGCTGTACAGTGCTGACCCATAGATTTACAATGAACGTAAAGCCGAAGAAAGAAAGGGAGTGAGGTCAAAGCAAGCTGAAAACTCTCCAGCCAGATTATTCAAGCTGAAAACTCTCCATTCAGATTATTCAAGCTGAAAACTCTCCAGTCAGTTACATTGTTCCAAGTCGTCATAGCTACACAGGAAAGTCGACATAAACAGATAATTGACTAGAAGGGGATGGCATCTTTTATAATGTTTAATATTTCGCATTAGGCCCTAGGAATTTGCGTAAACTGAATTGTGGGAGTCAACATAAACAGATAACTGACTAGAAGGAGATGGCATCTTTTATAATGTTTAATCTTTCGCATTAGGCCCTAAACATTAGCGAAAACTGAATGGTGGGGGAGAGGCAGCTGACATCGAGATTTATGTGTGTACAATCAAATTGACTAAAATATTAAAATAGCTAATTATTTTAAAGTTTTTATTTTTAATTTGCTGTTTTCTGTGTGTATGTATGCTCACGCACGAACACTCAAGAACAGGCACAAGTGCAAGCTTACGCACATGCAGGTACAGACATGCAAGTACACACACACATGCAGACACACTCAGGCTCACACTTACAGCTCTGTATTACCATAGGACATCGTTGCGTGTCCAGGGGATACTTCTGCAACAACATCCGGCAACTCAAGGTCAGGGACAACCTACAGATGCAGAAACAACATATGAGATGAAGCCACATTACACACGTTAAGCACATTCACCAACACACACATAACAGGTACAGCCACATTACACACGTTAAGCACATTCACCAACACACACACAACAGGTACAGCCACATTACACACGTTAGGCACATTCATCAACACCCACACAACAGGTACAGCCACATTACACACGTTAAGCACATTCACCAACACGCACACAACAGGTACAGCCACATTACACACGATAAGCACAGTCACCAACCCACACACAACAGTTACAGCGACATTACGCACAATTAGCACAGTCACCAACCCACACACAACAGTTACAGCCACATTACACACGATGAGCACAGACACCAACCTACACACAACAGTTACAGCCACATTAAACATGATGAGCACAGTCACCAACCTACATACATCAGTTACAGCCCCTTACACACGATGAGCACAATCACCAACCTACACACAACAGTTACAGCCACTTACACATGATGAGCACAGTCACCAACCTACACACAACAGTTACAGCCCCTTACACATGATGAGCACAATCACCAACCTACACACAACAGTTACAGCCCCTTACACATGATGAGCACAATCACCAACCTACACACAACAGTTACAGCCCCTTACACATGATGAGCACAATCACCAACCTACACACAACAGTTACAGCCCCTAACACATGATGAGCACAATCACCAACCTACACACAACAGTTACAGCTCCTTACACACGATGAGCACAATCACCAACCTACACACAACAGTTACAGCCCCTTACACATGATGAGCACAGTCACCAACCTACACACAACAGTTACAGCCATTTTACACACGATCAGCACAGTCACCCACCCACACACAACAGATACAGCGACATTACACACGGTGAGCACAGTCACCAACCCACACACAACAGTTACAGCCACATTACGCACGATGAGCACAGACACCATTTCGCACACAACAGGTACAGCCACATTACACATGCGTGCAAGTGGAGTGGAGTACTTTCACAACTGTGGAATCTCTCTCTCTCTCTCTCTCTCTCTCTCTCTCTCTCTCTCTCTCTATATATATATATATATATATATATATATATACATATATATATATATATATATATATATATATATATATATATATATATATATATGTATATCTTCGTTTCTGTTTCTCTATCATTCTGTACCAGCCTCTCTGTTTCTTTATGTCTACATATTTACATTTTCTACCTCTCCTTTCACTACCCAGTTTGCTTCTCTCCTTGATTTGTCTGCCCACCCCCTGCCCATTGTCTGTGTCTATCCGTTCCTATGTATTATGCATCGCCCAGTCCTTTTCTGTCTATCCGTTTCATTTTCTTTCTCTTCCTTAATGTGCGTAAATAGTAGCATTTTATTTATTCGAACGTGGTAAATTATATCTTGCAACTAAGGCTTCCAGACTGGTAACAGTTCATTTGTAAAATAACCCCTGACTGATTCCCTGACACTGAAATAGACCAAATGTTAACTAGTTTTCATGCTGTTCCTGTGTTTGTTTTTGTATAGTAAAGATTTCTGCAGACGTTTGAAAAGAACAACCACTGAAATGCCACACCAAAATAAAATAAATATTGTATGAACTGTTAGCATGTGAAAAACTACCTGATACCATCAAGAAAAGCAGCACTTATCACGCGTTCATTACACCCCTTCGTATTCACTGTACTGTGCAGTGTGCACGTGACAAACAGAATAAGTCAGCGATCGTTTGGGTTTCGGGGCCCCATTGTGGGGAAAACAAGAATAGACCCACTGCCTTTCCAGCAAGCATGTCGTAGGAGTCGACTAACTGGGGACTTCCGTCGAAATGCATCTGCCCGAGCGACAAGGAACAACCAACTGCACACAAATAAGCCAGTTAAAGGGATGTACACGCAAAACTGCAGTCTTGGTACAAAGCCAAAGTCTAAATGAATAAACAGTCAGGTCTTTCCGCTGGAGCTTACAGCCGGCGAACAAAGAAAAAGTAGATAGATCAAAACAATGTTACTGTCTGGTTTTGTTACTAGCTGTCATACATTGACTAGCACAAGTGATAGCTGATCAAACTGATCTGAAACGTCAGCAAAGACCCAATTATCGATATGTCGGGGTCCATTGAAGTGCATTTCTGCTGATACCTTTGGAAACGCCTTAATGGTTTGGAGAGAGAAGAAATAAAGGGTATGATAACCATGGAAAGAGACAGGGGTTAACCAGCGGGTTGGTGAATATATGTTATTAAGGGTACGATGACCAGAGAAAGAGGCACGGGTTAACCAGCAGGGCGGGGGGGGGGGGGGGGGGGTGAACATATGTTATTAGGGGTATGATGATCAGAGAAAGAGGCAGGGGTTAACCAGCAGGGCGGTGAACATATACTATTAGGCGTACGATAACTGGAAAAAGAGGCAGGGATTAAACAGCGGGGTGGTGAACATATGTTATTAAGGATACGATGAGCAGAAAAAGAGGCAGGAGTTAATCAGCAAGATGGTGAACATATATTATTAAATGTACCCTTGGCAGGAAAGTATAAGGGGTGGGGAGGCTGGCCAGGGACCAGCTTTTAGGCATGTCGTGATGAGAGCAACATTTTGAAAAGGACCTACAACGTGATGATATTTAGTTGAAGTCGCTGTCGTCATAATCAGACTTAAATATCTATAAAAATAAAAATATTTGTTTGTTCCTAATCATAAATCTCTGAAAGTTCTTCACCGATTGCTTTGCAATTTTCCCACAACGTTACATTCGACTACGCACGTGTTTTTATTTACCTATCATTATATAAAGTTACACCTGTGACAGGACAGGTAAAAAAAAATTCTTTAACCTTTCCGAGCGAGTCATCCGATGATCTAAATCTCTTCTCTAAAAATAGCCCCTACGTCACTTTGACCCTTGACCCGCAAGCACATGACTTGGCCAAAAATACCACACCGGAACTGTTCCACTTTTCCACTTATGATTAAATACTGCCGACTTTGCTACCAGATGGAAGAACTGCCATCGTTTGGACGTAAAAGCAACACAGGCTTCAAATCCTTCGGAGAGGGAGACAGCAGAAGTCGATGGATTGGGGGGGGGGGGGGATGATGACATAAACTGTTAACCGAGAAGGCCTAAAATGTTTTCATTTTTTATTATTTATATTTTAATAACGCTACCTTATCTATTCTCATTTTGTTGTTGTTGCCAATTTGTTGGTTATTTAGAAGTACAGTAGTAAGCTTTACTTTGGGTTGTTTAAAAAATGCAAAAAGTTTTAGCATGTGAAAAACAACAATTTTTCTTTAGTCCTAATAATACAAATTACACGAACACTAATATAAAGACGAAATTATATGTTGTGTGTTCCAGAGTCGGTAAACCCGACTATCTGCCCAGACATTGATAGCAAAATTAACCATATTAGACACGTTCGACTTTCTATTTTCTTTCTTTTAAATTTAGCTAGACTGGGCCACAGCAACGCGTGGCCGGGTACAGCTAGTTAAGAACAAAAATAGGATGGCAAAAGGTCTCTCTGTGGCAGTCTTGTTAATATTTCAAATGTGTCCTTTTCCAACTCACTAATAACCACTCGGCATTTGCTGGCAGAATATGTTACACTTATTGATTAAAATGATTTTTGTCTATTCCCAAGAGATTCTCAGTCTTTGCTGTCAAAACTTTTCCGTGCAAATAACCAATTTAGAGTGGCGTGATCAGTTCGCCCTGACCGGTCATTCCGGTGATGTGTAATATGGGCAATGCACGATCTATTTGTTCCAAAACATGGCATCTGTTTGTCGATAATATCTATCTCTTGATCTCACAGAATGACATTACTGAATTGTTTCCCTTTAAGTAACATCACCATTCCTCTTAACTTCTGCAGTTTAGCAGGTCCTTTTCTTTGGAAGAACAATCCGTATTCCCTGTCTCTAGGCTTTAATCCCTCTGTGTGTTCCGGCGCGCCCCATTCTGGTGCGGGGAGGGGGGCGAATAGATCCACTGTCTCCCTAGTGCCTAGTTGGGGGTGCCTAGTTGACCATGTTCTTAGTGCACTTGTATTCATGGCGAGGCGCAGACGCCGTCTGAAGGTGACAGGTTCAATTCCCGACACGGTAACTATAGCTTTCGATTTTTAGGTTGGCTAGTGTGTTCTTCTATCTTTCTACTTCTTTCTATGAGTGCCGATCAATACACTTTCTTTTACTCGATTAATTCATAATGTCTCCCTAAAAGCATTTCGTGCAAGAGTTCTAATATGGGGAGTTTTCTTCGAAGACGGAGTTTATCCGCCTGAGAGGCGAGGAACCAACAGTCTGCACAAATAAGCCAAATCTGTAAAATGAATGTTCATGCAAAACTCAAGTTCTGGAACAAAATCCAGAAATGGAGAACAACCAGAACTTTCTGCCGAAGTTTACGGCCGGCAAACGTTGAGAATAAGATCCCTGTCATTTAGGTCCTCTCCGTTGGATCCTATGTGTGTTTCGGGGTCCCATTTTTAGGGGGAAATAGACCCACTGACTATTGCAAGTATGTCGTGAAAACCGACTAATTAGGAATTTGCTGAAATTTGATGTTTTGTGACGAAAAACGTAGATTTCGCAGCCTAGCTATAAACCACAACACAGTGTGCTAACCGATCTTCTGAGGGCGTATGCAGAAAAAGAGGAAAAAGTGACGAAAGTCCACTACTGAAATTGCCCACCAAGCGTGCTACTATCTTTTCTTGAATCCTTCCTTCACAGATATCGTTTAGGTATTGTTGTTTGTTGAATACTGTTTGTCTATTTACGATTAGTGCAGATAAACAGGCATCAGTAACATAGATTTGGGTTTATGAGTGGGGAAGTGTGTATGTGTTTGTGTATGTCTGTTTGTGTGCGTGCTGAAAGTTCAGTGATCTCATTTGGCGTAAGACAGATTAGAGTAAACAAGTGTGCTGAACAAGTCCTGTTTTTCAATTTTAGAATGTAAATTTCAGTGAATCCACACTAAATGTGTTCAGTAAGTCAGTGTTTCACCACTGACAAAAATCAGTATATTTTCTGACAGTTCAGCAATCGACAAACCCCGAAATTCTGGTACATATCCAGACATTCTTGTACACATCCCGATATTGATGTACAAATACTAAGAGTCTTGTACCTATAATAAATCGCAGTCTTGCACACATAGTGACAGTCTTGATATATCCTGACAGTCTTGTACATGTCGCAGGAGTCTTGAAAAAACATCCTGACAACCAGACGAAAGCAGACAACTTCTTACCTGCCACTGTTGCCCTGTACACACACTGTCAGTCTGAAACAGCGCACCACAAATCGTACATGCATGCCATACATACTTTCAGTCCAGCACAACACACATATACACCCACACATACAGCCACACATACACCCACACATACACCCATAAATACACCCACACATACACACACATAAGCCACACATACACCCACACATACAGCCACACATACACCCACACATACAGCCACACATACACCCACACATACAGCCACACATACACCCACACATACACCAATAAATACACCCACACATACACACACATAAGCCACACATACACACACACATACACCCACACATACACCCAAAAATACACCCACACATACAGCCACACATACACCCACACATACACCCACACATACACCCACACATACAGCCACACATACACATACACCCACACATACACCCACACATACACCCACACATACAGCCACACATTCACACACATACCGCCACACATACACCCACACATAAGCCACACATACACCCACACATAAGCCACACATACAGCCACACATACACCCACACATACAGCCACACATACAGCCACACATACACCCACACATACAGCCACACATACACCCACACATACAGCCACACATACACCCACACATACACCCATAAATACACCCACACATACACACACATAAGCCACACATACACACACACATACACCCACACATACACCCATAAATACACCCACACATACAGCCACACATACACCCACACATACACCCACACATACAGCCACACATACACATACACCCACACATACACCCACACATACACCCACACATACAGCCACACATACACACACATACCGCCACACATACACCCACACATAAGCCACACATACACCCACACATACAGCCACACATACAGCCACACATTCACCCACACATACAGCCACACATACAGCCACACATACACCCACACATAAGCCACACATACACCCACACATAAGCCACACATACACCCACACATACACCCACACATACACCCACACATACAGCCACACATACACCCACACATACACCCACACATACCGCCACACATACAGCCACACATACAGCCACACATACAGCCACACATACAGCCACACATACACCCACACATACAGCCACACATACACCCACACATACACCCACACATACACCCACACATACCGCCACACATACAGCCACACATACAGCAACACATACACCCACACATACAGCCACACATACACCCACACATACACCCACACATACAGCCACACATACAGCCACACATACAGCCACACATACCGCCACACATACACCCACACATACCGCCACACATACCGCCACACATACACCCACACATACAGCCACACATACACCCACACATACCGCCACACATTCAGCCACACATACAGCCACACATACCGCCACACATACACCCACACATACCGCCACACATACACCCACACATACAGCCACACATACCGCCACACATACAGCCACACATACCGCCACACATACAGCCACACATACACCCACACATTCAGCCACACATACACCCACACATACAGCCACACATACACCCACACATACAGCCACACATACACCCACACATACCGCCACACATACACCCACACATACAGCCACACATACAGCCACACATACAGCCACACATACAGCCACACATACAGCCACACATACAGCCACACATACCGCCACACATACACCCACACATACAGCCACACATACACCCACACATACAGCCACACATACACCCACACATACAGCCACACATACAGCCACACATACACCCACACATACAGCCACACATACACCCACACATACAGCCACACATACACCCACACATACAGCCACACATACACCCACACATACAGCCACACATACCGCCACACATACACCCACACATACAGCCACACATACACCCACACATACAGCCACACATACCGCCACACATACACCCACACATACCGCCACACATACACACACATACAGCCACACATACAGCCACACATACAGCCACACATACCGCCACACATACACACACATACAGCCACACATACAGCCACACATACAGCCACACATACAGCCACACATACAGCCACACATACAGCCACACATACACCCACACATACAGCCACACATACACCCACACATACAGCCACACATACAGCCACACATACACCCACATACACCCACACATACACCCACATACACCCACATACACCCACACATACACCCACACATACACCCACACATACACCCACACATACACCCACACATACACCCACACATACACCCACACATACCGCATGCTGTATTGAACCGTGCCTTCCTTGAGTAGATGCATATATTTATTGGGCACGGTGACGTCATGGAATGCCGCTCTCTTTTCGTTGCGGAAGTAAACGTCGGGTACCCACACCAAGTCCATCATTTTGGTGTCCACCTCCAGCCTGGTGGAATTATTTAAGTGCGCGAACTTTAGACGGCTGTCCTCCCACACTAAGATCAGGTACACTTCCATGGAATAATCCTAGGAAAAAAAAAGTTATACATTTTCGTGGGATAATCCTAGGAAAAAAAAAGTTATACATTTTCGTGGGATAATCCTAGGAACAAAAAAGTTATACATTTTCGTGGGATAATCCTAGGGAAAAAAAAAGTTATACATTTTCGTGGGATAATCCTAGGAAAAAAAATTAACTTTATTTCGCAACCTTTCGTGATTTCATAATGAAGCCTATTTGTTAATCAAATAATTTCAGATACTGAGTGCAGGTCATGTGTTGTCTTCTGATCCTCGACGTAAGAAAAGAAACACATTGATTGACACTTACAGAAGACAAGCAGGAAGCTTTATGTCATTTGATGACACGGCAGTCAACCTAGGGTAATCTTTAGCAAGAATGTATAGTTTCTAAATCGCCTTGGAGCTGTTGATTATTCATCAGACCCGAATCTTAGTGCACAAACAGTTCCCGATGTTTCACTTGCTTTGGGTAATCACTCATCAATTGAAATTTCTTTATTCAGGGACAAATGTTAATAAATGTAAATCTTCTTCTGGTGTTTTGCTATGGAGTGATCTAGCATCGGAATTCGCCAGCTTTGAAATTTAATTAACATAATAATAAATCAGTTCTTAAAAAGTAATTTATTTAGATCACGGATTTCAAATATTTGCTCAAAAGTGAACAGTTTTTTTCCCCCTAGAATTTAACCAGTGTAGAGCGGAGCGGTGAAAAAAAAAAAAAAAAAGAACGATCACCAATTTACACTGAAACTCCGTTATCGCCAGGTTACAAGAACAAAATGGCTGATTTAGACCAGTGAACAAGGGCAGATGACCATGGTGAGGCACCCGACGTCTTTTATCCAAAATGTTACCTCATGTTTAGGAAACTCATAAACAAAACAACAACTTCACGTACCAGACAACGCACAGACTAAAACATGCCTCACAATGCACTTTACACTGTGTTTGATATGTGCTATGCATCAGTTAACTGCCCCCCCCTCCCCCCCCCCCCACACATTCACTCACTTTACTTTCTCTCAAACACAATCTAAGCTAAAGACATTTACACATACTAGTTGTTATTATTATTGCTGCTGACATAAAAAAAAAAACATTATTTTTGATGTGGAGACATCTCCTTTAAAGACAAATATTTCAATAAATTTATAACCGTATATTCGGTGTCAGTGGACTCTTGTGTTCCGAGCGAGAGGTGCTGATATCTGTGTGCGTGTGTGTCTGCAGACATAAGAGGCCGTGAATTGGTGAACCAAATCTCTAGGACGACCCAGGGTTCGCTGGGAAAACACCATCTGATAGTCCCTGACTGCCAGAGACATTGAGTGGAACAAAACCAGAAAGAAAACTGCTGATAGAGAAGTCTGGCGATCTCTGTGATGAACCTTTACACCCCAAAAGTAGAAGAGGAGCGACCAAGTAAGTAGAAATATACTGATACTGTAAATACTTCAACTGATATAACTCTTACAGCTCCTCCAACTACCTACTATTATAATAGTTTCACATACTACCCATGTCATACTGCCCCCAGCCCCCCCCCTTTTCTCTCCACAAATATCACTGTCTTTTTTTCTGATGGTCGTGATAAGTTGTCTTCCCGCTCTCATCTCTTTTAAAACATCTGGGCTGCTTTATAGTTTTTTGACTGTCCAAGGATTTCTGATAAACCACAACCATATCTACTGAAACAAACGTTAGTCTCCCCAAACAAAGTAGGTCACGTTCCATTGATAAGCTTTTCTGGACTGGTTTACCTTGCTGGAGGTTAAGGGTGTGCCGCTCTGTTGTTTGCTTTATGGATTGTCATGCATTTACGTTTTTATTCCGAGAAAAAAAAAAAAAAACGCCTGTGACGTAGGTTTCATCACTCCTTAAAGGGAATTTGTGTTAGACCCAGTTTGTCGATGTTTTTGGAGTGTTAAAAGGTCTGGCATGCTGAAATATACAACACGCGATATCAACGGTATTGCGGAACACCCCTGTAACCTTGTGCCAAGGATTGAGCTAGGCTGAAGGTCAGCCAATCAGAAGTGAGCTAGTGTGTAACACTGTGTAAATGGAAAGAGCAACGTTACTATTACCCCATATCTCTCAGGCCTGAAGAAATTGTTTGGCTTTTTTAAATAACTATCCACGATTGCCAGTCATATGTTAAAATTGTCTCTATCTAGAATTCTTTATTAAATCCTTGAGAACATATATTTATGATTAAAAATTGTCTCTATCTAGAATTCTTTATTAAATCCTTGAGAACATATATTTATGATAAAAATTGTCTCTATCTAGAATTCTTTATTAAATCCTTGAGAACATATATTTATGATAAAAATTATATTAAGTTTTATAAAATGCTGTTTTAGTCTGTCTTTTTTATGCTCTTTATCTCTATGATACATTTTCTTTCGAATGTTATCCTTGTGCCTAGATACTAAAACTTAACATCACGTAGTACTACTAACACTATTATTACTTATTCTGCTGCTGCTGCTACTGCTACTACAACCACTTCTACTACTACTACTACTACTACTACTACTACTACTACTACTACTACTACTACTACTACTACTACTACTACTACTACTACTACTACTACTATTACTACTACTACTTCTACGACTACTACTACTTCTACTACTACTACTACTACTACTACTACTTACTACTACTACTACTACTACTACTACTACTACTACTACTACTACTACTACTACTACTACTACTACTACTACTACTACTATTACTACTATTACTACTACTACTTCTACTACTACTACTTCTACTACTACTACTACTACTACTACTACTACTACTACTACTACTACTACTACTACTACTACTACTACTACTACTACTTCTACTACTACTACTACTGCTGCTGCTGCTGCTGCTGCTGCTGCTGCTACTTCTACTACTACTACTTCTACTACTACTACTAATACTACTACTACTTCTACTACTACCACCACTACTACTACTACTACTACTACTACTACTACTACTACTACTACTACTACTACTTCTTCTACTACTACTACTACTACTACTACTACTACTACTACTACTACTACTACTACTACTACTACTACTACTACTACTACTACTACTACTACTACTACTACTAGTACGTATCACAATAACAGCTACCACCACAATGTCTACAACTCACTCCTGCAATTGCAATAGTTCTACTTATAATACCACTAATGCTACTATTCTTCCTGGCACTGCCACTGTTACTTTTACTATGTGTGTTCTGTTTCTCTTCCTACAGCAATACATCCAGAAACAGCGACTAACTGTTATTATTGTTGACTGTGATTGTATTATTTCTTTGTTTAATTTCATACCTTTCCCCGTGTGGGTTACGGGGCCCCAATGTGTGTGTGTGTGTGTGGGGGGGGGGGGCAAGAACAGCATGTCGTAGGAGTCGACTAACTGGGAGCTTCCTTCGAAGTCGGAGTACATCTGGAACAGGACTATAGTCCAGAAGTGGACAAACAACCAGAACTTTCCTACGGAGTTTACAACTGCTGGACGGGAAGAAGAAGAAGAAAAAGATAGCAGCTTTTCATATAAATTTTCTAATTTTATTCTTACTTCCAAATATTATATGATCCGTACAATTATATTGTGTGTCGACATATATATATATATATATATATATATATATATATATATATATATATATATATATATATATATATATTTATCTGATGCTGGACATTTGCATGATTTATTCAGTTTCTCTCGCCCCTACAAAATCCTGCTTGTCTTTTTTTTTAACATACTTCCTGCACATTAGCGTAACAGATGCAGACGTCCCACGAAACACAGACTAAAACTTATAAACTGCCATTTAAAACTCACACACACCTGGCATATAAATTGAACACGAAAATGCACGCGCACAAACACAAACATCCAAACAACAAAAGCGTTCTGAAATCAACATGTTTTGTTTCGTGAAAAATAAATCGGAGGCTGTGACCTCCACTGAACATCACACACCTCATACTGTATTTGACCTTTCCGTCAGGGTAGATGTGCATGTATCTGTTAGGCACTGTGACGTTGTGAAACGAGGCCCGCTTTTCGTTTTTAAAATAGACATCCGGTACCCACACCATAGACATGAGCCTAGTGTCCACCTCTAGCCTATTGGACGAGTGGAAGCTTCCGAACTCCAGCCGATGATCGAACCACTCCATAGCCAGGTACACTTCCACCGAGTAATCCTAATAAATAGCGTAAGAAAAACAATACTAATAAAAAGCGTAAGAAAAAACATTCATAATTAAAAAGCGTTGAAAAAAAAAAAAAAAACCAACCCCAAAACCAGCGTAAGAAACACAATCTTAAAAAAAAAAAAAAAAATCCTAAGAAAGACAACCATAAAAAACAGCGTAAGAAAGACAATCTTAAAAAAAAAGTGTAAGAAAAACAATCCTAATCTACAGCGTAAGAAAAACAATCATAATAAACAGCGCAAGAATAACAATCCTAATAGAAAGAGTAAGAAAAATAATCCTAAAAAATAACGTAAGAAAAACAATCCTAATAAACACCGTAAAAATAACAATCCTAATATATATATATACAGAGTAAGAAAAACAATCTTAGTAAATAGCGTAACAAAAACAAATCCTAATAAAAAGCGTAAGAAAATACAATCATGATAAAGAGCGTAAAAATATCCAATGCCAAAAAACAGCGTAAGAAAGAAAATCCCAAAACAGCATAAGAAAAACAATCCTAATAAACAGCGTAAGAAAGACAATCCTAATAAACAGCGTAAGAAAATTAATCATAATAAACAGCTTAAGAAAAACAATCCTAATAAAAAGAGTAAGAAAAACAATCCTAATAAATAACGTAAGAAAAACAATTCTAATAGAAAGTAAGAAAAACAATCCTAAAAAACAATGTAAAAAAATTATCAAAATAAACACTGTAAAAATAAGAATCCTAATATATATACAGAGTAAGAAAAACAATCCTAATATAGAGAGTAAGAATAATAATCCTAATATACTTCTTCTTCTTCTCTTCCACCTTGTACCTCCTTGAAGTGTCGGGGGTAGATGTAATGTACGTTGATGAGCTATCCTAATATACACGGTAAGAAAATCAATCCTAATAAACAGCGTAAGAATAACAACCCTAAGATTTAAAAAAAAAAAAAAAAGTGAAAAAGAAGTATTGAATACACTTGCTCTACACACGTATTGTATTGCTTTTTATAGGAGTGCAACAGGGTGGAGAAAATCAATATAAAAAACAAAAACATCAAAAATATTCTTTCTGAGTCCTTGGGGCCTTGATTAGTTACATTTGTGGCATTAACTATGCTATGAAAAAAAAAAAAAAAAACACCAGTTGAGCTGATATCTTAAAAAAATAAATAAATAAAATAACAATGCAGTGCTCCAATTTGTTAAAAAATGTTTTCTCCATAAAAACTGATGAAAAAGTTTGGGGACAGCACACATCCTTGGGGTACTCCTCTTGTTTCTGGGATGAGAAGATGTAGTATCTAACTTTTGTTATTTGTTTCCTGTATAGTATGGGTGGTGCTATTTAAAAGACCACAAGTACCAGCAGAGCCGTCTTAACAGTATTATGCGGTCCTGTGCAAACCAGTGTACTCGATTCTCTGCTACCGCGCTGCTCAACCTTTCTAATGGGGTGACCCTTTAATTCAGGTCCTCGTGTTGTGGTGACCCAACAATGCAATTATTTTACATGGGGGAACAGTAATAAAAGCAATAATATGGCTAGATACATCATTTTTCCAGTGCGTGCTTTGTAAGTGATTCCACGAGCAAGCTCATAAGGATAGAGACTGGATGGACTCTAAGAAAATAGTTGGAGTCGCTGAGAAAATCTCGTCTGAAAGGAATGAGTTTCAAGTTTGTGCAAAGACACTCTGGGGTAAGAGGGAATGAACGAGCGGATTGGCTTGCTGGCAGGGCCACGGTAGGTACAGGAAAAGCAATGGACCGGGCCGACATTCTCAATGTTCTCAATGAGGCAGGACGAGAAAATGATCAAGGAGACAACGTTAAATCTTCAACACTCAAAAGACTACAAGAACTTAGGGTCAAGAGATGTCGCCAAACATGCACACTGTACAGGTAACGAAAAAAGAATAGTAAACCAACATAGAACTGGTGTTTTCAGTCGCCACACGCTGAGGGATAAACTGAAGATTGGATCCGAGCGCATATGGACTTATCTGATGTGCAATGCGGATAATATGTCGATTAACTAACTAACGTTATTAATTCTATTGAGTATTACAATAAAGTGACTTAGATCGTAGTAGTACTATGTTAACATGTCTTGATGGGAATTGCTGTATCTTAAAATACATTAGGTCTAGTTAGTGCTAATATTATTAACCTATCAGCGAAAGGTAGTTCTGTACTGAAATACTGCTTGCTGGTCAGTCTAGTGTCGTGTTAAAATACCGTCTGAAATCAAGCACACGTAATAATTATTGAAATACTTTTGTCTCTCACTTGCTATACAGTTCGAAATATGAACTAAAATATTTCTTTTGACAACAGCAGCAACAATTTCTGTTTTATAATAAGGGCCATCTGGGTGGCTCTTCTACTGTATGTCAGTGTGAGTATTCCGTGACGTTTACATCCCTAATCGTATGTAAATATGGAACTGAATCACACACAATTTCTCAACGTGAGCAAATACGGTAGAAGTTACAGGGAGTGGTTTGACACAAGAATTAAAGATGTCTTGAAAGAAATTATCTAACAGAGATAATTATTAGCCAAGAGCCCTTCTCCGGCTTTTACGAGTTCTGGTTTACATGTCTTTGGACAGTACCCAGTACGGGAGCACGATAGCTTTGTTACTGGCTGCAGCTGCAAAGTATCTAGATATGACTGGTCTGATCTACACCTCTTTCCCCAAATGTTTTCAGATATTATTTGGGGTGAAAACAACATTTAACATTTTTTTTAAAATTCCCCGTGACATGGCAGGAGGTAGACGCTTTGCTGGAAAAAAAATCGGCACGTTCAACCAGCATCCCTGATTAGGGAGCTTTAGGTTATAATTGTGACTAGGCTTTGTGCGCCAAATAAAATGGGTTAGCATTGCACACCAAAAAGAGTCATGAAAAGGACTCCTGCAGTATTGATGCGATCAAAGGAGACAGACCCTAATACTGTTCTGACCGGAGACGAAACAGTCACACGGCGAGCTAGTGGGTGACCCGGTAGCTGATAATAATTCCCACCCCCTCCCCGTGACATAATATAATTTCATTATTACGTCCGACTGGTCTCTGTGGCAAAAACCAATAGTTAAATTGTCAAAGGGAAGAAAGTTAGTTAATTCTTTGCACAGTTTGTATTTAGTGATTATTTCCCTTTATGCAATATAAGTAATTATGTGACGCAAATTTGTTCAATAAGTTTGTAATGTTTAAGATTGCTTATTTTATGTTAGTAAAGTAATTTTGTGTATTTATGTCTGTACATGTGGTTTTGTTGATTTATGTAATGTGCTGATGAAGGTTCTGTAGCAGTAAAGTTCACTTTTCGTTTGTGTTTGTTATACGGTGGAGCTCACTGCTCTTCTTTTCGTTTCGTTTTATATATTTCCATGATATTTAAATTTTATTTTAGTAACGTTACGCCATCACGTAGGCAGAGGAATTTACGCCTGCCTGTCTTCTCGGTGGTCAAGGGGTTCGACTCCACGATATTTATAAAAACTGACCAAAAAACCATAAAAGTATTCTATTTCTTCTCCTCTTCTTATAGTTTTATCGGAACCAGTTTAGGAGAAATATAGAAATATAAGGATACGTTTCTTTTTAATGAAAAAAAAAAAAAAAAAAAAAAATTGTTGTTGCAGATTTTTACGGGGCGAAAGTCTTAAACCTTCTTTCCCGTGGTGAGAACCAGGAACTCGAAGAGACCAATCTGGGCACATGACACTGGCCCAGTCAATTCTACCTAAGGAATTCAGTGGAGCGTTGGTAAACGATACAATTTTCTACCTTTACTTAGAGGAGTCTACTTTTACACTGTGTGACCCGGAAGGTTTCAAACAAATCCAAGACATCCATTAGTTATTGCCAGAGACTGAATACATGCATGTTCACATTTTTCAGATCATCATCATTATGTGCCCTGCCAACTGGCGTAGGCGCTCATGCGTCTCCACAGACCACGATCCCTGGTTGACTGGAACAGCTATCTTGCTGATATCCCCCCAGGCCATCGTTTCAGCCCATCCAGCATCATCTCTCTTGGTCTGCCTCTACCCCTTTTCCCACTGATCTGTCCAGTTGTCACAATGTTCTCCAATGTCTCTCTTCGCATTCTGTGGCAAAAGAACAGCGTTTGTCTCTTTCTTATTGTTGTATTTAGAGATCTACTTTCAGTAGCCTTTTCAAGCAATCGTTGTTAGTTACTATGGCCGTTCAAGTTATTTGTAACATTCGTCTCAGAAACCACATCTCTGTTGCTTTAAATTCTTCCTAATTTGTTCAGTGACATTCCAAGATTCGCTGCCATACAGCAGGACAGGTTCTATTTTCAGATGTTTATTCCAATTCTCAAAGTCAGTATTTTCTTATAGCAGACATTTTATTTTGTAATAATTATATTGGATGGATTAATAGTGTTTTATCTGAATGTAATAAAAGATAAAATGCACCATAAACTAGCATCTGACACACATAAACATATATAATTCACGTGTAATGCATACAGAACATACGTACATTCATACATTGATACATAATACAAACATATACATACACACATATATATACTCACCATGGTTGTCTCGCTGACCGAATCAAAGCTCAGTAGATGTATTTTTATTGTAACATTTGTTGGATGCTCTGGGGATTAAGAAAGTGAAGACAACCAATTAGAGAAACTCCGAACAGAAAGAGCTGGCTAGAAAATCGATGAGGGGATAGTCCAGCCAGCTCCTGTGTTGTCTGTGCACGAAAGAGGAAGAAGACTTGCTTTTATTTAAATAAAACTGGGATGTTGGCCCACAACTGCTGCATGCAGCCAGGGGGTGGGGAATTTTCTGGACTCATTGTGGTCAAACAAATCTTTGTTTAATCAATCTGTCATTATCAGCGTACTGTCGACTCATTTCTCGGTCAATATGTGGCTATTTCGTCAGTCAACAAATGACTCATTTTTGTTCCTAGTCAAATTAAGTCATTAAGGGATCACTACAGGGCATTTTTCCCAATTTATGACAAAAATATCACTTTTTCAATGTGTTCGTTTTTGTAAAGTTTGGCATTCGTAGAATAGATTACTCACAAAATTTATGTCATTTGTAAACAATTTAGCATTGAAAAGTTAATACTAACGACACCACCTCGTGCACTTTTTTAAGATAAAAAAAGTTTAAAAGTCAGTTTTCTCAAATCTCTATATTTCAGTTTTCTGTGTGTGTGAAATCCTAAAATCTAAACCAATATAGAGAGTAGAAACATGAAATTTTGTATGCATACTTTTTAAACAATATTATAGGGACTGGTCTATCTGAAAGTAAATTTTAGAAAGTTGTTGTTTTTTTAAATTTGATTATTGTCTTATGATGCTAGATTTTTTTGACTTTTTCAAAAAACCTACATTTTAAAATTCTACGAAAAATATTTAAAAACATGTTTAAAGTAAAAAAACAAGACCTGTACCTCTAAATATGATAAAAGGTCATGCATCTATCATTTATTGTTGAATATCTATGTTTGTTTTTAAAAGTTTAGGATTCTAAGCACATATTATTTTTTTTCACAAGATGGCGGCTATTGCTATGACAACTATGATTTTTTAACACTTAAAGTATACAAATGTAATAACATGTATTCCTACAAATGACCATTATACAATAACTGCTCTAACTCTATAAATAGAAAAATAAAATGTTTTGGTGTAGTGACCCCTTAATGAGTAATAATATAGTGAACAAAAACCGCATATGCCTTCGCACCATAAAATTATGAGTGCTGGATGTCGGGTCGCAGGCCGGTCTTCCAGAATAACTCTGGGTACTTTTCGTGTCCAGGCAGGTCAACCGCCAGTTGCCAGTCCCTCGCACAGTCAAGCATCGATAGAGCGTATGCGACCTTGTTGAATTTACCTTTATAAATCTAATATTATAAACCATTTGCCAAACAAAAATGCCAGTCGACAAAGAACACAACTGAAAAATCAAAGAATAAGAATCTATGGCACAGCGTACAAAAACATGCATTTTGCCCGAGGTAACACTTTGATGTGAATCTAAGACCTTTTCATAATCAGCAAAGGCGGAAATGGAGACTTCTGAATCTGAATGCTGCATTACATTCTTAAAATGAGAATCATCAAATGTTATGTATACTTATTTCTGCTGTAAGTTACAGAAACTTGGACAATGAATAGGCAACTAGAAAAGCGAACTGAGTTGCTTTAAATGTTGATATACAGATGAATAGTTAGTATATCGTAGAAACAAATCCAGTCAAGGTCAGAGGCGCTGGAAAGAATACAAATGAAAAGTTAATTACTGGAAAAAAAATAATAATAATAGTAAAATAATAAATATTAAAATAATTGAAATATTTTGGCCACAATAAAAGACATAACATTCTTTTTAAAAAGCATACTGACGGGAAAGGACTAGGGCAAGAGAGCAAGAAAGCAAGAGGTAGACAACGATACAAGTGGGAGAATAACATCAAGAGTTGAACACACTGCAGTCTGAGAAAGTGTACAACTAACGTAAAAGACAGAGTATACTAGAAATCCACCATAGACAATAGACAACATTCAGGAACTGACTGGCTGCAGTTTTGTAAGAAGAAAGATAATAAGAGTGTACAAAAACTGAACGTTAAAGAAAACTCGCCTTAACAGTTTCACCCCTCGGACACTGAAATAAGTTGGCTTTTCAAAACGTCACAGTAGATTAGATATAGCGTTAGTGGAACATATCGTTTCTGATAAATACAGACTGAAGCGATATTCAGGAAGATGGACACAAGAACTCGGAGACATCACAACAAAAGGCAGGGGTGTTGGCGACGGGCCGCAGTTGTAATATGTTGAGCAAAACACTTGCTGCATGATAATGATGATGACTTTATAGAAGAATGTTAACATCTTAACCAACACAAAGAGATGTTATGGGGAGGGGGTGGGTGGTGGGGGTAGGGGTGGGGGGCGGAACATGATTTTTTTTTCTTCAAAAATCAGGTGTCGGCAATGTTCAGTTTTATGAAACTGTATATTACGATATCCGAAAAAACCCTAACCACGTCTTTAGGTTAATTGGACACATAGGGCTAGACCTATATTTTATAGACCAATCAGCGCTCAGTGGGCGATAATCGGCTCCGTCAGGACCTGAATCTTCGACTTTCGGTCCCACAGGCAGGCGTCTAGCCGCTAGCTGCACCATGGCGGCTCAATAAGTATTTCCTAGCATATATATATAGTACATGTTGTAAGAAGAAAAATTGGACAAAAGCGACAAAGAGGCGGTCTTGGATCTTTGACAGCCTGGTATTTTGGCACGGAGAAACATCGTCAGATAAGAAGACAAAAACATAGAAACTTGTGAAGTTTGACATCAGGACGTGGAGAAACATCACCAGATAAGAAGACAAAAACATGGAAACTTGTGAAATTTGACATCAGGACGTGGAAAGATATCACCAGATAAGAAGACAAAAACATAGAAACTTGTGAAATTTGACATCAGGACGTGGAGAAACATCACCAGATAAGAAGACAAAAACATAGGAACTTGTGAAGTTTGACATTAGGACGTGGAGAAACATCACCAGATAAGAAGACAAAAACATAGGAACTTGTGAAGTTTGACATCAGGACGTGGAGAAACATCACCAGATAAGAAGACAAAAACATAGGAACTTGTGATATTTGACATCAGGACGTGGAGAAACATCACCAGATAAGAAGACAAAAACATAGGAACTTGTGATATTTGACATCAGGACATGGAGAAACATCACCAGATAAGAAGACAAAAACATAGGAACTTGTGAAGTTTGACATCAGGACGTGGAGAAACATCACCAGATTAGAAGACAAAAACATAGGAACTTGTGAAGTTTGACATCAGGACGTGGAGAAACATCACCAGATAAGAAGACAAAAACACAAGAACTTGTGAAGTTTGACATCAGGACGTGGAGAAACATCACCAGATAAGAAGACAAAAACATAAGAACTTGTGAAGTTTGATAGGCATAGAGAAGCAATTACACCTAAGGAAACAGAGAAAAGATCCATGAGAGAGTTTGACACTGTGACACGGGGAAACATTAGCATCCGCAATTGTTACAACACGCGGGACAGAAGGTTGCGGAGAAGCAAGAGAAAGGAACATCAGATAGTTTGTCCTTCCAGATATAGGTTCCAGGGCTTGACTGTGGGGGAAAACAAGAACAGACCCACTGCCTCACCAACAAGCATGACGTAGGAGTCGACTAATTGGGGTATCCTTCGAAGTCGGAGTAAATCTAGCTGAGAGACAAGGAACCAACAGTATGCATACAAATAAGTCAGAACCGTAAAACGGATGTGAACGCAAACTCAGGTTCTGGTACAAGACTAAAGTTCGGAGGTGAACGAATACCTAGAACTTTCCTCCGGAGTTTACAGCCGGTGATCGTGAAATAGAAGAAGAAGAAGAAGAAGAAGAAGAAGAAGAAGAAGAAGAAGAAGAAGAAGAAGAAGAAGAAGAAGAAGAAGAAGAAGAAGAAGAAGAAGAAGAAGAAGAAGAAGAAGAAGAAGAAGAAGAAGAAGAAGAAGAGAGAAGAAGAAGAAGAAGAAGAAGAAGAAGAAGAAGAAGAAGAAGAAGAAGAAGAAGAAGAAGAAGAAGAAGAAGAAGAAGAAGATGAAGAAGAAGAAGAAGAAGAAGAAGAGAAATAATAATAAGAAGAAAATAGAGTTTATGCAAAATTAAGACCATTTAGAATTTGAACTTATGATGCAAATGACCCTGCAAAAAGGTACGCGTTGTGCACACAGGCTTTGCTCTGCACCACTGTCAGTGTTCTGGAGTGCACGCCAACCATACAAACTCAGTTACGGACCAAATTTTTTGGTTTCAAATCCCAAACTTCGATTTATAATAGCCTTTTCCAAGTTAAAAAAAAAATGCCACATCGTGCGTTCACATTAATGGCACAAGAACATGGCGGATTAGAGAAAATTCAAACTCATCTCCTGTTTCAGCCCTTGACGCCACAAAGACGTCAATGTGGGCCTTACGGAAATCTGCACCGGGAGAGGAGAGCAGTGTATGTTATGTGCTCAGGGCGTTTCAGTCCACACTCTTTTTTTTCTCACACACCAAAACACACAAAATAGTTTTGTGTTTTATCATAGTTGGTGCCACTAAATCACTTGTCACTTGTCGAGCCGCGTTAGCGAAGTCGATAGGAGGCTCGCTTTCAAATCCAGCTGCGACTCGCTGCAGCCACGGTCGGTGTTCGAAACCGGGCAGTTCCTGGGTTCACCCAGCCTCTAAAGGCAATGGGTGCCAGAGTGACACTCTGGGGTAAATGGAGGAACGTAGCTGTAGCTACAGAGTTACGTGCGGACAGCGACACAGGCGGACAGTTTCTTATTAGCTGTCCGTACTGGTGGCAGAGCACTTTTGGTTTATAACCATCTGCAATGACGCTGGTTCACATCTCCCGACTTTACCTTGACCATTTTTACTAAATCACTTGTCCATAATTGGTAGTAGACGAGCGAATCAATAGCCAGATGTTAGGTCAGTAAAGTAAAGGACCCTTTCCCCCGCTCCCAGGAGTACTGTACAGGTAGGGCTAGACCTATATTAAATAAACCAATCTGT